AGGAATGCACCACCAGTGAAACTCCACATCATATACAACCACAAAGAATGGGATCCTATTCATTTATAATATGTCAAAATACACTCCACTGTGATTGTATATCTAAAAAAAAACAAATAATAATATAAAAAAATACTTGTAACAATCCAGGACAGAAAGGGGAAAATTTAAAAACACAAAAAACTGTGCAGTTTACTTTTATCAGTTTGAGTGTTAGAAAATAAATCTAAAAGATAGCATGTATTTATAAGCTACCAGAAATTCTGTTAACAGTACCTGAAAGGCTGGGACACTACTGCTCTCGGGAGCCCTTTTGCATCATCAGACCTGCAGAAATCAAAGACACATGCTCCAGCATTACTATGTTCATACATGTGGGCAAAGACCAAAAGGCACACCATATGGATGGAACTGGATCAGTAAAAAATATTAAACTGTCTGGAGGGAAAAACCTTGAGTGAATATTAATATTCATCTACTTTATAAAATAAATCCCAGAACCAGCAGGAAGTACATTTTTTCCCTTAAGATGTCCTAAAAATCAAACATAAAGCTTTTTGAAATTTATTTTTATCAATATAAAGCTATTTCTTATAGTTCCAAGCAAAGATGGAGAATAAAAAAGGCCAACAATGTACACTGATCTTGAAGAACCTTCCACTGACTTAGAAAGAAAACACAGAGTGAAAAGAGCAGGGGTTTGAAGAGTCCTGGGTTGGAATGTTAGCTCCTTCCTAATTCCATCCCCTGGGAAGCAACTTGACCTAACATGGATCCATCCAAACATGGATGATGGAGCAGACCTTTGTGTTAACTTTGTTAAGCCTCTTATTTGAACTAAGACCTAACCTGGCCCCTTGTCCATAATAGATGCTCAGTAAATGGAACTCCTCTCCTCCACCTGCTACTGGTCATTGGTGGTTCCTAAAAACAAGGCTTGCTACCCCATTTTCTCACCATCCTATAGAAAATCCTATGGAAAAATCATAACCTCAACATGAACCTTTATTTCTTAGATCAGTAGACCAGTACTCCAAGATTCAATATAAATTAAGCATTATAACAATGAAACTAAATCCCATCAATCCATTTGATATTTATCATAGTGACAAAAAAAAAATCCTTCCTGGGGCTGGGGATGTGGCTCAAGCGGTAGCGCGCTCGCCTGGCATGCGTGAGGCCTGGGTTTGATCCTCAGCACCACATACAAAGATGTTGTGTCTGCCGAAAACTGAAAAATGAATATTAAAAAAAAAATTCTCTCTCTTAAAAAAAAAATCCTTCCTGCTATGCCTGTCTTTCACTTGTAAATTAAAGAAGACATTTCCCACAACATTCATTTCATTTGTGGACTGGGACCTTGTCACCCTACATATTGCTGCAAAGAATCTTGACTATATTTTCAGATTTTGCACCAACATTGAGTCTGAAACCTTTTATTTTAATTGTAAATTTTTAATCTACTCTGAATTATAAGCAGGTTTCAGATGCTGCAGTCAGAAGTCAAGTTCCATCATTGATTTTGATGATTAATTTCAGACTTCAAAATCAACATGTTTTTAATTTTTATAGGCACACATAAGAATCACTTATTAAATTCTTACCAACAGAAAGTAAAGCCAAGGGATTAGTAGCCAAAGCTTGCATAAATTCGTTTCT